CTGTTCTTCTCTTTTTTGTGCACAGGGCCTTCCGAGATTCGGGAGAAAGTCGCTCGGACCTACTGGTATTTCTTTTTTCCTCTCTCCCAAAATTAAAAATTCCATTACTTCAAAACACGTATCAGAGTCCAGGGACCTCTCCAACTTCAAAATTCCATTACTTTGAAAACACATGTCAGGGTGTAGGGGAAAAAAAAAAAAAAAAAAAAAACATATCAGAGCCCGGGGACCCCTCCGCTACTCCCAGATCAACAATTGCTGGACGCATCGTCATCCAGCTTAGCTTACAGGTTGACAAGCCTGCCGGTCTTCCACTACAGACCCAAGCAGCTCTTGGCTGAAGAAAGTACAGGTGGTCTAAAAATTAAAACCCATGGACAGCGATAGGAATTAACCAAAAACAAAAAGAGAAATTAACCAAAAAAAAAAAAGAGAACCTCACCATCAACTTGTTTTACCTGTAATGGACAACTTTTTTTTCTTTTTCTTTTCCTTTTTTTAAATACCAGTAACAGTCGCTGTTTGGTGGTTGCTTCCATATTTGCTTCAGCAGTTCTTTTTTTTTTTTTTTTTTTTTTCAGCAGTTCTCGCTCAGCACTGACATTTTCCATGTTTCTTTAACTAAATGAATATGGTTTGCATTTTTGTTGAAATCTTGCACGTACAGGTCGGTGTCCACAGCACATGAACACAACTGCCTCGTCTTGTAGAGGATATACAGTTTATTTTTGCCCTTTTTTTTCTTTTTCAACCACCAGCTCACCCGAAGCAGAGTGGTGCTCTCACCGGTCCTCCCAATAAGAGCATTTCATTTCGATTCAGGCCTGGGGCAGTGACGAAAGCGGCAAGCCACTTCGAAAACGCACATTTGCAGGCTCCACTCGCAAGCCTTGGGAAGCCTCGCTTCGTCGACTTGTACTCGTGGTTTAATATGTGCAGTTGTTTTAAACCCGCCTACGACGGGTGCTATATTATAGAGTTTATTTAACCCAGCACAGCAACCTTTAGGAAACAGCCTTAGGAATAGTGGTAGGTAGGTAGTGAAAGAAAGATATGTTCCATGGCATGGCAGAACGCCAGTTAAACCACCAGTACTACTTGGCCCAGCTATCGGCTGTGTAAAAAAAAAGAGTAGAAACGTTTCTAGTCGGATGAATTTGGGCACTCCTGTAGTAGCCCGTACGTTTCCTAAAATCGTGGCGCCAGTTAAACCACCAGTACTTGGCCCAGCTCTTGGCTGTGTTAAGAAAAAGAGTACAAACATTTCTAGCCGGATGAATTTGGGCACTCCTGTCGTAGCCCGTACGTTTCCTAAAATCGTGGCGCATTAACGGGCACGACTCTAGGAAGTACTGGTGGTTTAAAGAATATGTGAGGTGAGAGAAAAATATATGGCTGTCCCCCAATGAGGAGAAGGCAGCTTCATTAAAAAAAAGGAAAAAAAGAGAAAAAAAGGGATAAATCAAAATTGCATCTGTACCCCACTTAAAGACGGGAATACCTGCCATGCCATACCCACTTGCATCTATACCCAGACCCTGTCCAGCTTTACTTTTCCTGACTGCCAACTTATACTTGTACCAACTCCCACAGGCCCTTGGTTGGGGACCACAACATTATGCTTATGCCCAGGAACGGGCAGGCAAAATTGGGTATGTGCATAATTAGCGTTCCAGTAGATGGGTATAACTGCAACTTGGCAGTACCAACCTTGGCCCTCCTCCGTCCTGGGTATACAAATAATTTGCACAGACTACTCTCCGGGTTCTGATCAAGTTGGACACCGGAGCTGGGTATAGCGGGTATTCCCATCTTTAAACCACCAGTACTTGGCCCATACATCGGCCGCGGGCCGTTGCCGTTACCGCTACGCAAAGTTCGGGGTCCGGGGTACCGGACCTCAATGGCTGGAAGCGCCAGCCAAAGAAAATTGAAGCGGTACCCTGGCGCTTCAGCAAAAATTGGCGCGCAGGGGGAGATTCCAGGCTCGGCAACGATTGCTGAGCCAAGTACCAGTGGTTTAAATGGCGTACAGATCTAGGCTACCAGAGTGGGTCGGGGTGACTTCCCCGGCCGGGCCAAAAAAATAAAAATAAAAACAATACTTTTAAATTTCATTCTTCATTTTAAATTTGGTGAAGAATTTTGATGTGACCCTGAGGCAAAAGTTGTTCAGTTTATTTTCCTGCATAACATAGTATTGTTTTTTCTTGGATTTTTTGGATTTTTTGGATTCTTTTTTGTTATCATTTTTTTTTTTATTATAGGAATTCCCTGCTCCTTGCATGGGCTGGCCACCCGGGACCCGGGCGGCCCGGCTGGTAGCCTGGGTACAGATGCAAAATTTTCCACAAAAAAACAGAAGCTTGGAACTCACAGGGTAAGTGCCTACAACGAATGAAGGACAACACCTGCATCACCAACTGGCCTAGCTCAGTTGCTGCACCGATGAACTGTTGAAATACAGACCGGAGTTCGAACTCCGGTAAGAGTCCGATGAGTGGATGACTATTTTTTTTTTTTTTTTTTTTTATGAATAAAAGTTGGAACTCACAGGGTAAGCGCCCACAACGAATGAAGGACAACACCTGCATCACCAACTGGCCTAGCTCAGTTGCTGCACCCATGAGCTGTTGAAACACAGACCGGAGTTCGAACTCCGGTACGAGTCCGATGAGTGGATGACTATTTTTTATTTTATTTTATGAATAAGTTGGAACTCACAGGGTAAGAGCCCACAGGGAATGGAGGACAACACCTGTATCACCAACTGGCCTAGCTCAGTTGGTACACTCCCCCTGAACGAACTGTTGAAATACCTGTCTCTTATACACATCTAGATGTGTATAAGAGACAGCCCACAGCGAATGAAGGACAACACATGTATCACCGACTGGCCTAGCTCAGTTGCTGAACCCATGAGCTGTTGAAACACAGACCGGAGTTCGAACTCCGGTTGAGTCAGATGAGTAAAAAGTAACTTTGGAATTTACATGGAGCAGAGCGGTTCAAAGATGACAGACATGACAAGGCCGTCGCACGTTCCAAAAAGAAAAAGAAAGTCCAAAAGGAAAGCGAAAGAACACCTGCATCTCACCCCGCATCTTCCGCATCTTCTCCTCCGAACACCGTGGAAACGACTACCACGCGTTGCCTGCAACGAAAATACTTTCAAAGACATAGTTTTATTAATTTCAATTTATTTTTTTGTGCTCTTTTACGGAACCTATCTTGCTCGCTTAGCTTCTGACGGAGAGCGGCCTGCCGTCGATCTCCTATCCTTTTGTAAAAGCAGAAGCCAACCGCTGAACTCCTGACCCTACAAGCAAATCCACATCATGTCATCCACGGCAAACAAATGGCAGAACACCTTCCTCAACCCTTTTATTTAAGAAAAATAAAAAAGAACTAAAAAAAGAAAAAAACCCTTTTATTTATTTATTGGCTAAGATCAAGTGTAGTATCTGTTCTGATCAGCTAAATATCTATATAATAATAATAATAAAAAAAAATAATAATAATAAACAACAGATGGCAGGCAATAAGATTGCCGTTGCAGATAGATAAATGCTCGGCAGTGTGAACAAGCAATTTGCGTGAACAAGCACTTTGTGTCGAGTAGCGAGGATAGAAGGGGGTGAGGACACCAGGGGGAGAGGGGCCGGCAACAGGAAACCCATGGAATTCTGAAACACTTTTCATAGCTTGGTTCTCACCGCCACAAACACCTTAGCAACCTCCTGGACATCTGGTATTTACATCCACGTTCTAATGCCAAATAAGCAAAGGGAGAAGAATAGTAACCCTGAGAAAAGAGTATGGGAGAAATGCTGAAGGGAGAGAAAAGGAGGACAATAACATATGCCGACAGTATGACACCTTTACCGGAAAACAGGAAACTGCTCTTCTCTCTCTCTCTCTCTCTCTCTCTCTCTCTCTCTCTCTCTCTCTCTCGGGCCACCAGATACACACAATTCCCTAGGTAAAGTCGTTAACCTCCCTCCTTGTAACTGTGTCTCGTTACACCAAATCGGAGATGGTTGGGCCCTGTCCCATGGCACTCCCTACATAGAGAACCCCCCTTGTCCCTTCTTCATGTATATCTGTATGCAGCGCTCAAACTCTCTCTCTCTCTCTCTCTCTCTCTCTCTCTCTCTCTCTCTCTCTCTCTCTCTCTCTCTCTCTCTCTCTCT